ACATATGAACAGTCAGGTGCACATGGTATGTCTGAAATGCATGTGGTAAAGTCTGGGAGGAGAGGGGCTGAACGTCTATGTCCTCTGTAAGCACCACCTTCGTAGTACCTACGGGGTCAGCAACCTGGACGCTTATCAAATCTCATTCAAAAATTTTTATAGAGCTTAATCTCCAGCGCCTGCCTCTTCTCCTTTTCTGAAGTTTGGTTGGTGGGGCTAAAAAGGTCCATTCCTCTAATCCCTCTGTCTTTTGGGTGACTAACCCCATCTTGAGCCAATCATCTAGATATTCATCCTAAATTACCTAATTAGCATAAAATCATGTGTTATCAAAAGGCACTCATCATAAACAACCATTAGGAAATTCCAAGGGTTTTAGGGGTCAGTGATGGGAATCAGAGACAAAGACCAAATACAACTACAAATACCCTCTATTCAACATTTTCTAGCTTTCCAAGTTATATATGATGCTGCAATACATCTTTATATCTGTACATACATTTCTACACATTTCCAATGACTTCCTTAAAATAAATGTCTAGAAGAGAATCAGGGGTTTAAAGGTGTGCTGTCCAAAATGGTATATACGAGCCACATGACTATGTAAATAAATGTAAAATAAAGTTAAATTTAATGTCTCATCTGAATCAGTGACACTGTAAGTGATAAGCAGCCAGATGTAGCCAGTGGCTACCATATTGGAGAGTACAGTTATAAAACACTGCTAACACTTCATAACGTTCTATTAACAGCCCTGGTCTAAAGAAGTGTTCATATTAATAAATAAATATATGTACTTTTTCGGTACTAGGAATTGAACTTGATTGATTTTTAACCACTGAGCTACATCCCCAGCCCTTTTTAATTTTGACAGAGGGTCTCACTAGGTTGCCTTGGCTGGCATTGAACTTATGATCCTCCTGCCTCAGAACCACTGTGCCTATGTTTATATTAAAAATTTGAGGGGCTGGGGATGTGGCTCAAGCGGTAGCGCGCTCGCCTGGCATGCGTGCGGCCCGGGGTTCGATCCTCAGCACCACATACAAACAAAGATGTTGTGTCTGCCGATAACTAAAAAATAAATATTAAAATTCTCTCTCTCTCTCTCTCTCTCCCCCTCTCTCTTTAAAAAAAAAAAAAAATCTTTAAAAAAAAAATTTGATATCTGTATCTCATAGAATTTATGTTGCAACTTAAATTCCCAATATTAGTACATGAATTTGTGTCATCTTCTCAACATCAGATCAATGTTTGATATGAGAGATGAGACACAGTGTTTTAATTTGCATTCTTAAATTATTAGTGAGGCTGAAAGTCCACATTTTTTTGGCCATTTGTGTTTCATTTGCTGTTGCTGTTGAACTACATGAGCTCTGTAAAATCAAGTGTAATATACTCCTATTCCAATGGGAGTAAATAAATGTAAAAACCAAACCGTATATGAAATGAAGATATTTCTTCATCTGTTTTGCTGATTGATGATGACATTTCACAGAGATATTTAACAAACTAGTATAAAAATAGCACACGGAGTATACCACAATTAGTTAAAGGCAGACTTCTGTCTCATAGGTTGTTTCCTTAGAGTTAATGGATTAAATTTCTAAAAATAACAGGACTCTCATTGCAGTATGTTATTGCTAAGATCTTCTTACAAATAGGTTATAAAAGCATTTAAGTTTATATAAAAAATGTAAAACACAAAATGTTCAAATTAAAAAAATGAATACATACATACATATTTCACACACCCAAATGAAAGTATAGAATAGGAAAAAAAATCACTTACGGGATAAGAATCAGAACAATGGTTCCCGAGTTGGTAGGAGAGGATTGACTAAAAAGTATACATAGGGAGCTTCAGATACGATGGAACTATTCTACATCTTGACAGAGCTATGAACTACAGAAGTGTACACATTTGTCAAAATTCATTAAATTTTACATATCAGAACTAATATACTTTCCCACTCCATTTAAATTAAATGCTAATTTTTAATGAGAAGAAAAACAGTTACAACTACTATGGAAATCAGCATGGAGGTTCTTCAAAAGCCTAGGAATATGACCCAGCTATACCACCATATGACCCAGCTATACCACTCCTTGGTATTCATCCTAAAGAATTATTAAAGTCACAATACTATAATGATACAAACATATTCATGTTTATAGCAGCACAATAGCCAAACTATGGAACCAGCCTAGGTGTCCATCAACGGATGAATGGATAAAGAAAATGTGTTATAAATCCACAATGGAGTTGTAGTCAGTCATAAAGAAAATGAAATTTTGCAGGAAAATGTCATTTGCAGAAAATGGATGGAACTTGAGAGCATTAGGTTAAGCAAAATATACAAATTTAGAAGGTCAAGGGTCACATTTTCTCGCATATGGAAGCTAGAGAGGAAAAAGGAAAAAGAGAGATGGGGAGGGGACTCATGAAAATTGAAGGGTGATCCATCAAGTAAAGGAACTGGGGGGAGGGAGGAGGGAAAGGAAAGGGAAAATACTGGAGAATGATACTGGCCAAATTATACTGCTATATATTGTGGGCATGTATGAATATGTGACAACAGATCCCATCATTATGTACAAATACAAGGTACCAATTTTAAAAAGTGGGGGGAAAAAAGCAACAAAAAAGAGGAAACAAAGTGAAAAGCTGTATACTATTTAAAATATTAAGTTTATAAATAATTTATAAACAATTATCTTAAAAATATGTATAAAGCTCGGTTTGGGGGTCTGTGGCTGTGGCTCAACAGTAGTGCACTTGCCTGGCAAGTGTGAGGCACTGGGTTCAATTCTCAGCACCACATATAAATAAATAAAATAAAGGTCTAGCAACAACTTAAAAAAAAAACACTACAAAACTAGTAAAACTTTCCATTTGGAAGAATTCATTAAAAAAAAAAAAAAAAAAAGCTGGGTGGGGTGGCTTACACCTGCAATCCCAAATAAGAAGGCTAAGACAGGAGGATCACAAGTTAAAAGCTAGCCTCAGCAACTTAGCAAAACACTGTCTCAAAACAAAAAACAAAAAGGGCTGGAGATGGTAGTGCAGTAGTAAAGAGCCCCTGTGTTAAATCTCTAGTACCAGTAAACAAACAAACAAATAAATAAAATTGTAGAACCTTAAGAGTATGAGATGATGGGAGCCAAATCACTCAACTGTCAAATCTAGATGGCACTAGAAAAAATTCACTATCATGCCAGGGCAACATATATTAAAGTGTCAAAATAGCATTGCTAACTTCAGAAGAAAAAAAAATTTAATCAATGCTTCTACAAAGCCTATATCAATGCTTTCTGGAAAATCTACTTTCTGGGAAAGCATTTCTCTAATGCTGGGCTTAATTTTATTTTCTGAGACATATTTGTTGAGGTAGTTGTTGAACTTGGTTCATTTTTGCCTTATAAGCCTCCTCTTTTGGTTGTACACATTTGCTCAAAAGCTAACACTTTCACGTTAAAACCAACTGATTTGATAATGGAAAGTGTCTAAGGAAAGAAACAGAGAAGAATGCTTCTCCCCATCCGGCGCTGCCTACCCACCCCCTATGTTACAATGCACATTTATTATCTCTACCCATTTCCAACCTATCATTTTACTCGAACCTGTTCAGTGAGCAAGCTCTGGAGCAGCATAAACTATAATCTCATTCAAGTTCTTTGTAGACATGCTCAGATATTATGGTAACTTTTCAGACAAGTTTGCCTGTGAGATCAGAGAGGAGGATATGTGGAGGACACCAAGACTTTTGTTCCCAAAAGATCAAGTTTACTCAGTAAAGAATATGGCCCAGGGAAGGAAAGAAGCAGAACCATGTACATTTAGCTAATGTATCTACTTTAAAGGAAGATCATTATTTTTGTTATTAAATTTATATTATACTTTGGAATTTGAATCAAACAGATCTGGGTTTGAGAATCAGTTCTGCCACTTATTAAGTGTATGATCCTGGGGAAGTTATTTTACCACTGTAAATTTTGTTTCCTGTTGGGGAATAGTAATATTTCAAAGGTATGTGGTACAGATTAAATTAAAACACAAGTGGCCAGGCATGGGAATGCAAACCAGTAATCCAAGGGACTGAGAAAGCTGAGGTAGGAGGATCACAAGTTTGAGGTCAGCCTCAGGAACTTAGCGAGACACTGCCTCAAAATAAAAAAATAAAAAGGAGTAGGGATAGAGCTCAGTGGTAAAGCAGCACTGGGCTCAATCCCCAGTACCAAAAACAAACAAACAAACAAAAAACCCTGAGAAACATTTTCAGTACAATGGCTGGCACACTGAAGGTGTTCAACAAATGATAGCTACTACCATAACAATGCTGTTCCCTGAGAACTAGTCACTGTCCTCTAGAATCAAAATACAACCAAGATTTTCAGGCAGTCGTATTTTCCTAGAGAGGAGGAGAATGATCAACAGAAGGATATCATAAACAAAAAATATTCACTACAGAAATGTCAGCAGCCAACCTTAGAAAAGAGCATAAAAAAGCTAAAATATGTGCATACATGGTAGAAAATAATACTAGAAAACAGAATCCTGAAGTAAGAAATAAGGAACTGCAAGTTTGCAGGGGGAAAAAAAAGGAATTTTCTTTGCTAAGTAAACACATACGATGCATCTTTACTATGCTACTGATTTATTTCATATCTATTACTACTGAAGTAATAAGGACACAAAAGGGCAAGACATCCTTTACACACATGGAGTGGTCTATTTTACAGTAACAACCTCATTTACTCTTTTTATTCTGGTACTGGGATTGAATCCAGGGATACTCTACTGCTGAGCTATATCCTCAGATCTTTAATTTATTTTGAGACAGAGTTTTGCTATGTTGCTGAGGCTGGCCTTGGACTTACTATTCTCTTGCTTCAGACTCCCAAGTTACTAGGATGAAAGGTTGTTACTATCATGCCCAGCTACATTTACTCATTTTTAAAAAGCAGTTTGAGCCAAGTATGTAAAATCAACAGATATTTACCTGTTTCTCTTCATCTGGCATGTTTTTTTCCAGTTCTATTAGGTATTCTTCATCTAGTTCAGAGGAATTCACACCATCATCAGCTTTGCTCTCAGCCTTATCCATTCCTGGTTCCTCCTCCTCGAATGAGGCACTGCAGTCATGAAAATACTCCTCTTCTCCCTGGTCATCCTGGAGATGGGCCTTGTCATCCTTCGGCAGCTTGCTCTGGGAATGCTCATCTTTGGGATCAGGAACTGCAGGGCTTGCACTCTCTGCTTCTTGGGGATCTGTAACCTTCAAACCATTGAACAGATCCTCTGGAACCTTACAGTTCTCTGACTTCTCCTCCATGCTGAATTCAGAGAGGGAGGGAGGCTGAAACTCTGGGAAAGAAAATGCTTCTGTTATGTAATGATGTTTATATTCTAAAATATAATAATTCTGCCTTTCACACTTAAACAAACCTTTGCAACAAACCCCAAAACACATCCAAACTTCCTTTCATTGTTCCTTTCACATTATTCAAAAGTAGATTATGGTGGCCTATCGGTAATCCCACCAATTTGGGAGGCTGAGGCAGGTGGATGGAAAGTTCAAGACCAGCCTCAGCAATTTAGTGAGACCCTCTGCAACTTAGCAAGACCTTATCTCAAAAAAAAAAAAAAAAATAGAAAGAACTGGGGCTAGAGCTCAGTGGTAACTCTCCCCCCTACAAAAAAGTCAACATGAACTTAAATATTGCCAAATATTATTTTAACTGAATTACTTTTCCTTGTCAAATTTGGTATCAGAACTACTTATAAGCACCAAGAGACCAAACTCCCCACTCCCACCCTGGCAACACCCCTGCAAGTTGGGAATCCAACCCTAAGGCCTCACTGCTAATGATGACATGCTCAGCTCCTAACAAAGATGGATATTAAGGTGACTCTCCCACGTTCCCCGCTGGCATTTTGCAGGCGTAGTTTAAAAAAAAAAAAGAAGTAGCTATAACATTGGCAAGAAAAACGAAGGCCCAGGACCTGGCTTGCTACCAGTGAACTACATTCCCATCCCTTTTTATTGAGACAGGGTTTCATTAAGTTGCTGAGGCTAGCCTAGAACTTAACGATCTTCTGCCTCAGCATCCCAAGTGTAAGGCCTTCATTTTTATTCAGCGAATGAGAAAGACACGGTCTGTCTTTGCCAGCAACACTACCAGAATCCCAAGAATAAGCGTCTGGTGGAGCTAAAATGGAATCCGTGCCCAAACCACGATCAGTAACCAAAATGCACGTGATAAGCACACCTAGCTAATAGTAGGAAGCGAGACTAGGAGCAGCGGGTCCTTAAGAGGATCCCCGTAGGCATCAAAATCAGGCTCTTAAGAGGGGTAGTTCTCAACCCTCACTGCGTAATGACACTCGGAATGATTTAGAAGTCTTTTCTCCAGACCCTGCTTAGATTCTGATTTCTTGGTATGGAGTCGCGCCGGGGTGTCTGAGTTTAAAAAATGTTAAAAGTATACTAGGTGCAGCCACTGAAGAACCACTGCTCTAGAAGCTGAGTCAGACCGTCAGGAGTCCCGCCCACTGGTGGCAGCAAAATCACGCCAATGACCCTTGTGTCGCGACAAAGAGTCCGAATCCACCCCAGCTCGTTCCACGAAAACTTAATTAAAACACCAAGATAAGTAATAGGCAGATTTCGCCTCCAGAGCCAAGTCCTGTTTCTCCCCGCTCCCAGGTCAAGCAGAAGAACGCAGATTTCAGGGTTATGAAAGTGCCACCCTGCCCTGCCCACCAGATTATCCCCTAGCCCCGTTTCTCACCGTCACGCCGCCAGACCCACCGGCTACTCACAGCCTCACAGATCCTCCGCACTCTACCTAGCCAGTCTCCGAGACCTTCTACTTCCGCTCAGTCAGGTGCACTTCCGTCGGCGCCGACCAATGGCGTCGCCGTTAGCAAAGTATTCTGGGAAATGTAGTGGCAGCTTCTTGGGGGAAAGGTGTTAAGTCACTGCGTGACTTCATTTTACGGACCAAAAGTATGAAAGGCGGCTGCCATCTTGGGTTACGGAAAAACTCCAAGTTATTCTTAGCAGGAAAGAGGAAAAAATTTTAAAAAGAAAAAATCTGACCAGGCGTGGTGGCTAACGCTTGTACTTATAGCTGCTTGGGAGGCTGAAGCAGTTCAAAGCCAGCCTCAGCAAAAAGCCAGGCGCTAAGCAACTCAGTGACACCCTGTCTCTAAATAAAATACAAAATAAGGCTGGGGGTGTGGCTCAGTGGTACAGTGCTCCTGAGTTCAATCCCCGGTACTTGCCTCCACCCAAGAAAAAAATCTTTCCCCCATTCAAACTAGCCTCAGCAATTTAGAAAGGCCCTATGCAATGTGGGAGACCTTGTCTCAAAACAGATTTTAAAAAAGGGCTGGGGATTCTATCCCTAGTACCAAAAAAAAGTCCTTGTTTATTTTACTCTTTCAATGTATAGAAGAATCTGGAAACAAACCTTATAGGAAGTTTTCTCCCCAATGCCTTTCAAAGGGTCCATTGCGAGGTAACAGTTTTCATGATGATGCTAGGTTGTAATTTTCGTTTTTCACATTAATTTTCTTTTGAACGTACAGTGTAGCTTTCCAGAGGCTGTGTGTCATGTGATAGTACAACAGATCAAATGCAAAGGAGACATGAGATTCTAGTTGTCCTCTATTAGCCAAAGATTTCTCAGAATTTAAAACAATGCCACTCTTCTCACTGGATTTTTTTTTTTTAAGTCATTATTTAAAAATATAAACATTACCTATAAAATATTATTTATGTTAGCATATAATGGGTGTATTCTTACCATAAATGACTAAATAAATAAATATTTAAATTTTTCAAATATAATTTTAATATGGTAAATATTAATAGGTATAACCGGCCTGGCGAGGTGGTGCATAACTGTAATTCTAGGGACTCAGGAGTCTGAGGCCGGAGGATGGCGAGTTTATAGCCAGCCCCAGCAAAAGCCAGGTGCCAGCAACTCAGTATTTTAAAGAAAACACAAAAAAGGGCTGAGGATGTGGTTCGGTGGTCAAGTGAGCCTGGATTTGACCCCCAGTACCACCCACCCCCCCCCCCCCCCCCCCAAAAAAAAAAAAAAAAAAACCCAAAACAAAAGAAGATACCCAAGAAAGGTCAAAAAAAGAAAGTCTTTCATGTCCACTATTATGGGTGGACATGTTTTAAGTACTTTTTGTCATCCTAGTATACTTAAAATTTCATTGTATGTAGGTTCCCCCCCCCCTTGGAATTCATTAATTGTTTGCTTTGGACATTTGGAAAGATCTTTAATAAAATTGATTTTACTTTTGGAAAAAAAAATACTATTGCTTTTAATTTTTCCCAGTTCCGATCTTCGAATTGAGATTTGAGATAGGAGACACAATCAAGAGTTAACATTCTACAAATTTAAATTTCTAATTTTCTGTTTTCCCTTAGATTAGCATGACCAATAGAAAATAACACGAGCCACACATGTAATTTAAAAACTTCTAGTAGCAGCATTAAAAATAAGTAAAAGAAGTTAAATTAATTTAATAACATTATTAAATAAAATTTGTAACACTTTATTTAAACACGTGTAAATAATATAAAATTATTATTATTATCATTATTTTTTAGTATTAGGGATTCAACCCAGGGCTACTTTACCGCTGAGCTATAGCCTTTCTTATGTTCTATCTTAAGACAGTGTCTCTCTAAATTGCTGAGGCTGGCCTTGAACTTGCAATCCTCTTGCTTCAGTCACACATGTAGCTGGGATTACAGGCATATGTCACCATGCCTGGGATTATTACAAAAATTATTAACAAGTTATTTTATGTTTTTTTTATTTATACTAAGTCCTTGAGATAATGTATTTTATTGTTATGGTATATCTCAATTTGAACATAAAATTTTCATAAAAATACTTGAGTTTGTATTTGTATTTAATGAAATTTGCAGTTAAAAAAGTAGATTCATGGAAACAAAATTTTTTCAACTATACTTCCCAATAACTTAAACTTTAGATTTTAAATTTAATGAATAAAAATTACATAAAATGAGAAACTCAACATCTTGGCTGAATTAAGTAAATTTCAAATGTGCAGTTGTCCCAAATGGCTATTGGCTGCTCCTGACTCATTCACGAGAGGTTTAGATTTTCCAGAACAACAAATATTCATAGACAATTTGTGTGTGTGTTGGGGGGCAGTACTGGAGACTGGACCCAGGAGTTTTTTTTTTAACTCTATTTTATTTTGACACAAGTTCTTGATAAATTGCCAAGGTTGGCCAAGAACTTCTGATCCTCTTTATAATGCCTCCTGGGTGGCTGGAATTATAGGCATGCACCACCATGATTGGCTCATAGAGAACCTACACGTGGCAGGGGCTGTGCTCATTATTTTACATTAAAATTTTTTTCTTTTGGTTGGACAGCATGACTTTATTTTATTTGTTTATTTTTATGTGGTGCTGAGGATCAAACAGGTGCAAGGCAAGTGCTCTGCCACTTAGCTATACCCCCTTCCCTATTTTACATTTTTATTTATTTTTATTTTTATTTTTTTAGAGAGAGAATTTTAATATTTATTTTTTAGTTTTCGGCGGACACAACATCTTTGTTTGTATGTGGTGCTGAGGATCGAACCTGGGCCGCACGCATGCCAGGTGAGCGCGCTACCGCTTGAGCCATATCCCCAGCCCTATTTTACATTTTTAATTGTAGGTAATCCTTAAAATAACTTTAGTCTCCTTATTTATTTATGAATGTGTTTATTTAGTACTGGGATTGAACCTAGGGGTGCTTTACCACTGAACTATAGCCATAGTTGTTTTTCCTTTTCTTTTTAAATTTTGAGACAGGGTTTAAGTTGCTGAAGGCCTTGCTAAATAGCTGAGGCTGGCCTTGAACTTGTGAACCTCCTGCCTCAGTGTTGAGGGCCACAGCCAAGTCGGGATGACGCATGGCATTTTTGCCAGAAGTAGTGGTTGAGAGATGATGCCAGCGAGCCATTAAGATGATGACTTTTGAGTTCTTTCGGAGTTCCCGTTGAGTTCCCGTTGAGCTCTCGCGGGGATTCCTGAAGAGTTCGAATTGGTTGGGGAAGTGCCGGAGGAGGGATTTCTGGTTGTGGTTCCTGGAGGAGCCGCGTGGCGTTCGGGAGAGTTCCCGGGGAGCATGTGTGGAGTGTGCTGGTGGAGTTCAGAAATAAAGTTTGTTCCTGCTTGAGTGGCTCGTGATTTGTGCCCAGCCAGACTGCGGCACCTCAGCCTCCTGAGTTGCTGAGATTACAGGGACACACCACTGCACCTGGCATGATTCATGTTTTTGAAGTTTGGTTATGGTGTGGTGAATGGATTATAAAAAAAACAAGGGTGAGGCCTGGGGCTAGCTCAGTGGTACAGCACTTGGCTAGCATGTGTGAGGCACTGGGTTGGAGTCTCAGCACCACATACAAATAAATAAATAAAATAAAGTCATTATGTCCATCTACAACTAAAAATTTTTTAAAAATTAACATTAAAATAAAAAGAAAAGGGTGAAAATAAAGAAGCTAAAACTGGGCACGGTGGTTCATGTCTGAGAGCCCAGCTACTCAGGAGGCTTAACAGGAAAAGCCCAGGTCAAGGCCAGCCTGAGCAATTTATGGAGACTATGTCTCAAATAAAAATAAAAAGGGCTGGGGCTGTAGCTCAGCAGTAAAGTATCTTTGTATCACAATTTCCAGTATCACAAAAAGGAAAATAAACCCTTGAATCATGTATAATTCTTAATCTTTTTTTGTGTGTGTGGTGCTGGGGATTGAACTCAGGACCTTGTGCATATGGGGCAAGCACTCTACCTACTGAGCTATATCTCCAGCCCATAATTCTTAATCATTTTTATTGACACCCCGCCCCCATGAAAATGAAACCTGGAATTCCTTACCAAGGCCATAGGGCCCATGTATCTGGTCCTACCTCATTCTCTGACATCAACAGGTACCACTTTCTCATTTTTACACTGTGCTGCTCTCTGATCCTAAAACACAACAATTCTTTTCCCATCTCCAAGCCTTTGTGCTCCATGTTCCCTCTGTGGGATGCCATTAACAACCCTTCACTGCTTGCTCATTCTCATTCTTCAGGCCTTCCCTCAAGGCCACTGCAGGAGCTGACTCTATTATGTTACCTCCTGTATTGCCTTCCTGTCATTCATCACCATCTGGAATAGTCTTGACTAACTATTTACTTGATTATTATAACTCCCTCTACCAGACTAGCATTTCACAAGGATAGAGAGATCTTGTCTCTCTTATTTGTTGTGAAATCTCTCAATTTCTTTATTTTTACATGCCTGGCATAATCTAGGCACTTACATATTTGTTTTATAAATGGATGAGACAGATGAGAAGACTGAGGCTCAGGAAGGTTAAAAACTTTCTCCAAGGGTCAAACAGCTAGAACAGAGCAGGGAATGAATGCCTGATCTACCCACAGAGTGTATATTCTAAAGGATGAAGAGGCTGGTCAGATATATTATTTCAGAGAGAAGTGGCTTTGAAGATGATTTATATCTATAAAATGTAAATGTGGATGTATATCTGTCAGGAAAACGCTGCAGTTTTTAGCATCAGGAAAATGACTCAGCCTGGTTAATAAAGTCTTTATTGCTCGGGATGGATGGATGAAGGAAACATATGTAATGGAGACTGACAGTCTTGCAGGAAGTCATCCAGAAGGAGGCCAAAACAAGCATCCTGCTCCCATTTGCCCAATTGCCTGATCCCCTTTTGCCCTCAACCTTTTGCATTTGGTCAAGGGAGGATTCAGTGCCTCAGTCACAAATGGGATGCCTTCCCCGGGACACATCCACTGGACCAAACAAT